CTGTGTCCAGGGGGATCAACTGTCTCCACATCAGAGCTGAGGAACATGACCTGCAGCGAGGCCTATCAATGAAGCGTGTGCACGTGTTCCACTGAACTACCCTGACAAAACGTCAATACATGTGATATCCAGACAAGTGCGGTTTAAAGAGTCACACCACGGATCTTAATTATGATCTATAATCCCTGTCAAACGGCATTCCCCCTGGCATGTTGCACCGTTCACAGAGGGAGGCAGACCGGCAAGAACAAAGACTCCAGCCCTGGACAGTGATGTGCCCTCATGAGAGACGAGGGACTAATGACTGCCTTCAGTGAGCGGTGTGTGTGTGAGTGAGAGAGGATGTAGCCTGTGTTTGTGTGTGTGCAACATTAGCCAGCGTCACTCATGTGGGGCAGGGCGCCAGTGTGTGTCGGCTGTGCCAAGCTGAGTGTAGCAAACCGCAACCAGCTCGGGAATGATCACCCTGTTACTGGAGCGAGCAAGAAAAGTGTGTTGGACAGACTGTTGAATGTAGACATTATGTACAGCACTGATACAACCCTGTGTGTGTGTGTGTGTATGTTTATCAATGAGAGTGTTGGTGCATGTGTGTTTTCTCGTCTATCAGTGTGTTTTTGTGAGCACCCTCGCTGCCAGATCACACGAGCCAACACAGAAATTACCCGAACCCTCATTGCTGCTTCAGCGCCAAGCCTGAAAACGCCTGAGTCCCACTCTACACTAAAGCTGAGTGGCCATAAACAGGCATATGCACGCACGCCTCACGCACGCCTCACACACGCCTCACGCACGCCTCACGCACGCCTCACGCACTGTATATTTAGTCAGAAGCACTAATCAACTATGCGGAATGATACAAACAGTGAAGAGGCATGTAATCTCTGGCACACAGCTGCGGAAGTGAAGGAAGCGATAGGACAAACAGGACAAACAGATAAGATGGAGGGAGGAAAAGGAATGAGAGAGGAAAGTGAGGAAGGTGAGGAAAGTGAGAAAATTGAGCGACTGAAGAAAGAAAGAGTAAATACGGGTGCTGTGTGTCACGAGAGGAGTAAAAGGACAATCAACCAGAGGTGGCCTTCGGTGGAAATGCTCGCCCGTGTCAGCTGCCGTCACAGCGTTGCCTGCAGCGAGGACTCAACAGCTGTCACGGCTGAACTTTCTGGCAGCGACAATATGGTCACAGATGGGGTTCATGGCATGAACCTGATGTGGCACTGACACCCAACCTGTGCCAAGTTGTATCACCAAAAGGATCGCAAGCAAATCATCACTCCCCCTGACAGCTGCCTCTTCTTTAGCAAAACAATTCAGAGAGTTGCGATCAGGTGAGGATGACATATTTGAACTCGGAGCTGGAGTAGATGAGACCCAAACGCATGTGATTAAACATAATGTAATGTCTTTGGTGGCAAAACGTTGAGTTTCTGAAAAAAGAACTACATCTCTGCCAATCTCACAAGTTTCTCTCTAACCTCACAGCCTCCAAACACTCCTAACAAAACAGACTGAGTCAAGAGTGAGCGAACTCTGAAGGAAAACTGTCAAACCCACACAGGCCACATGGTTTCAGAGAGGTAATCAAGGATACGCGAGGCAGAGAGATGGAACATAAACTCTGGGATGATCTTTTACTTTTTCCCCACAGAGCTCCTGATTTAAACCAAAGCCGCTCTATACCTAAGTTGAGGTGAGAAGGATTCTCGCTGGCATTCATATGGGACCCAGAGTCATTACCGGCACATTGGTTTTTAGAATCAACAAGTTGCGGCGGCAAATCAGGGGAACAAAGCCTCAAGGATTCGGTTGTTCAATTGAAATGCAGCGTGCAATTAACTTTATAATCTGTTTACAAATGAGGTCTACCCTACTGCTATCTCTGGAGTGTGTGGGTGTGTGTATTAGTATGCAGGTGGAGTGTATGTGGGTACTCGATGTGAATATATTCACATTTTCACTATGGAGGAAGTCACTTAATATAAAAAAGAGGGATTAACAATCCATATGTGTAATTAACCATGGACACTGGTATAAATACTAATATGGCTGGACAGTGGACGGCCAATGTGAGAAAAACAAATACTTTCAATGGAAATTAGTTGCCACCTGTGGATTATGTACTCTGACTCTAATTAGCATATGAACAATGTCATAGCATTGTGTTTGCATTGAGGCGTGTGTCAGCCAGTTTCAGCCCTTTATCTGTTTGGTTCTCTACAACTCTCTGTGCTCACAGATTCAGTATTTGAATACAGATGAAGGTCTCCTGACACAATCACCATACATATAAGTTAAAGTTGCAAGTTTTGAATAGAAGAGAGTGTGGATGGGAGATTTATGTGTGTAGGTCATGATGTGAAACACAGAAGAGCAGGAGACAGAGATAAAAAAAGAAAAAAATATCTAGGGAGTGCTGTGTTAGTTTGGAAAATGGGGACTTTTTCCAACAAAGAATGATTTATTAAGATGAGCTGAAATAGTTTTGCATTGGAGAAAAGACAGACTCAAAGCATTTGCCAGTACTTTACAGAGGACGGGTGTAGGTACAGAGCCCGATGCTGTGTTCGTCCTCCGAGGTGGTCTTAAATAGCTTTTAATCGGGCAGCCTGAGTTGAGACACAAAGTGATACTATTATGCTCATCTGAAATGCATGCGTGACTGTGTGTGTGTGCATGTGGTTTCAGTTTAGCACCATTTTATCTCCTCAGAAAATTCACATTTTCTCACGGATAGAAAAGAGCATAACACTCTGCACACTCTTTCACTCCTACTTATCTGTCCTTGTGTCTGTCCATGTCTATGTGATCATATTTAGGGTCTACTATTTTTCAGAATATTGTAATTGTATTGTGTTGTTTTTTTATCGTTGAATTGCTGACCAAATACATAAATTAAATTGATGCGGCCATCTCTCCCTAATCCTACTCGCTACTCTGTGTCTCGAACAATGTTCCTCCTCCTCCTTCTTCTAAGAAGGAAGCTGAGCACCGAGCTCATCACCCGTCGTCTGTCTGACATTTGAAAATGTCTCACATTTTAGCCAGAAAATATCTGAGGTGTAAATAGCTGCTTTGATGCCTCCTGAGGGGAGGAAACATGTTGCTGCATCGCTTTGCTTAACACAATATTAAGTTTTGATCATTAATTCTTCTTTTATGGGTTTTCTGACTTTTATGTGTTTTTTTCCCTCTGCTTTATTTTTCCTCATGTTTTTTCCATGTCCCCAGGCCACCCCTGATCTGATAAGATGAGATTTACTTTAAAGCCCCTGTAGGGAGATGTTCTGGACTCCACGACAGATAAAATCATACATATTGTGTCAGATACCACAGGCGTCCAACTGCTAAGCTATGAATATTAGCCATCCTGGCTTCTGCACTGTCACTGCACTTTGGATGGTGTGTGTGCTCCAACTGTGGAAAACCACAGATAATTGCTTTATATTGTGATGTGATTTACATTAACAATGAGAAGGCTCCGGTTTGTCAAGATTGTCTTGAGCATAAACAGTTGAAAACTCACAATACTGCAAATTCAGAGCCCAGAAAACTGCCAATAATTGCCCAAACGTTTGTTAAAGTTTAAGTAATTGATCCAGAACCAAATAGAAAACACAAAATACAAACTTCAATTATGTGACATGAATGAACAAAATTAAACATTTTCATTTTCAGAGCTGATGGAGAATCATGAGTCACAATTGAAGATGGATGATAAAAATCTAATTCAACAATGCAAAAGCAAAATTGGTCTCTTTTCTTTCATCACAGCAGTTATGTGCCTCTTCTTTATATTTGTAAAATAAAAGCTCAGCTGCTTTCTACAACAGAATTCGACACTTCATTATAAGTTTCCACAGCAATTCAGCACAATAACTGATCGCATTTTTAAACTGAAGTGCAGTCCCCTTAAATTCAATCAAGCTGCACCAGATTTTACAATATCAGTCTCCTTAATATGCCTGATATGTTTTCATCAAGAAAATGTTGAATAACGCTACATTAAAGAAAGTGAAGAAATATATTCTGCATCCTCACTCTGATCTGGATCTCACTCTGATCTGGATCTCACTCTGATCTGGACCTTCAAAAATGAATGAGTTCTTGATCCACACTGAATCATTCCACCGCATTTTGTGGTGATCTGTTGATCTAGTTTTTGAGAAATCTTGCTAATTAACCAACAAACAAACAGACTTGATATCTTATATTTACATTTGAATTCAAGGCAAAATTAGTTCAGTGAGCATTTCAATCACATTTCTATTATAATTAGACTCATTGGACACAATTTTGAGTATTTTCTCAATGTAAACTAAAGCCAGGCCAAAGTAAATAAGCCAAGATATCAACTGATTCAGTTACTGCCTCCAGGGGGGAAACGCTTGGGTGGCATTGCAGATTAAGTTCAGATTAAACTTTGGTTTTGTGGTTTCTTTGGGCCTAGAAGGCTGTCTGATATGGAGATGAAGTGAGAGATGACACTTACATCATTGTCCTCATATAGCAGAGAGAGACAGTTATTACAAAGATACACTATCAGATATAAAAAAGACTAGGAGAGTGTGGACTGGACCAGACTAATTGTCCCGAGGTTAGAGAAGGGAGCAGTGATTGAGAGCCCTAATGGAATAACATGCACCTCTGGTGGGGCCACTTAAACAGAGGGAGGTTGGTGAATGTACAGTGACCACTGGCCAGATAATGATGACCCATAATGCATTTTGCGGTGACATGTGCGCTGTTGTCTCTCTCAACACTAGGACGACACGCATGCGGTCACGATGGATAGAGTGGATGGACGGGGGAAAAAAACATGGGGAAAGGCAAAAAGAGGAGAAAGGTACATAAGGACGGAGGGGGCAGATTAGAGTGAGCAGGTTTTTGTCAGAAAATGAGGCAATGAGATAACGAGCTACAGTAAAAGAGAAGGAGAGAAACAGAGGGAAAGAGGCAGACAAAGTGAGAAAGGAAAAGAGAGAGAGATGCAGTCTTACCATATCAATGAGGCTCTCCTGGATCCGGTTCAATGTGGTTCTCAGTCTGCTGCTGATAAGGCCCAAACCCGATGACTCATACTGTAGAACACACACACATATACACACATTTACTGTCTGCACCACGCACAAACACCTCCATGAGAACACTTCAGTGTGAGAGCATCATCAACACACACACACACACACACACACAC